GGTCTGAGTCATTAAAACCTACAGAGAATAAAAAAACTTGGCAAATATGAAAGCAAGGCATTTTAAAAGGCTCTGAGGAGACAGCCTGCTCCCCCTTGCTACTGAAGATGTGATAGATGAGCTGCCATTTATGTGTAGGAGCTGACAATCTGAGGATTTGGGCAAGCCTATGAACTTAATTACATACAGTGCGTCCCAAAACAGCTTAAATAGATATACATGCCAAAAACTGAGAGGGAACCTTTTGATCCTACTAAGAAAAAAAAAAGAAATAAAAAAAAAAAGAAACCAATATTTAAAGTAGCAGCCTTGTGTGTTATCTGCAGACAAACTTCCTGCCAAATATTATTGTCTCTGCCAAGAACTATGGTATTTTTGGATAGTTTCTTATTTACAACCCCTCCTTGTGCATGAAACAGTGATGTTTTGCCATTTTTAGGTGTGGCTGATTATATAAAAAGCTCAAAAAATTTCAAGCAAGAATCTCTTCTCAGAGGACTTGTCTTACTGGAGAGAGCATTACAACAAACTTCAGCTTCCCTATAAAAAACACTAACAACAAAACCAAGAAAGAACAACCCACTTAACCAAACCAGGTATTCCAAGGGAAAAAAACAACAAACATGCTGAGGAAAGGTCCAAGGGATGTTTGTTGTTTGTGGTACCTTAGTCAACAATATGACATTCTCTGTAAGCATATGGGATTTATGAGGGATGATATCCTGCTCTTGGTAATACTACAGTAAGCAAACAGAATCAGTGGTATTAGCTTTTTTCCTCCCCATCCTGATTTTTGGATGTGTATCCATGCATCTTCCAGATCTGGCTTTATGAAAAGCAGACTTTCCGATGACATTCAGCTTCCAAGCCCTTAGTACCCACTCAGAGAGTTGCTAAGAAATCACAGTTCAGCATCACGTTTCCTCCCTCAAGACAATTCAGCAGGGCTCAGATTCTCAGAGGTCACTGAGGATCTGGGACTCAGGAAATCTGAGCTCTGTTCCCAGCCTTCTGCTATCACTGCACAACAGTGCAGCGCCTCATTTTCTCAAATTAAAAAAAAAAAAGAAGGGCTAAAACCACCAGCCTCCTTTTCAAGAACTTAAAAAAAAAAAAAAAAAAATTAAAAGAAAAAGGATCAAAGGATCAAAGGATCAATACACTGTGCACTTATCACTCAATCTTCACATCCCCCCCCAAAAACCTCACAGGATTTTAACGTTTACTGTCCACAAGCTCCTGCAATATTCCGGGTAACATTTATACCAATTCAAACCCAGCAGCATTTCTCCAGAACAGAGACTTCTCTTTCTCCCACGTCTACCCAGAGTAACTTATCTCAAATACATTTACACAGGATTTCGGTTCTAAAGCTGTAAATCCAACCTAAGCTCCTCACTATGGCATCCGATCCATGTCAGTACTTGCAGCCACGCAGATCCCTGTGAGATGGGCTGTATTTTCCCAATTACCAAAAACATTTAAGATGAATATCACAGAGAGGGTCATTTGATTTCCATTGGCATCATTAATGATTACTTCACTACTAAGAAACACACCTCCTCCTTCCCCATCGTTTCTTCATTCATAACCTGAATAACTTAAGAATGAGAATACTTGAGTACAAAAAATCCAAAAAAACTTTGTGGATAACAATCCTTCTATGCATACTATCTGCAAGAAGAATGCATCATTAAAGACAAGTAATACTCTATTCCTCATAAAATACATTCATTTCATATAATCTTTAGAGTCTCCAAGCTCAAACAGAAAAATTATACTTAAAATACGTATTTTCAAATCTTTCCCTCTTTCTCATTAATAGGGACTAAAACTTGTTCTGTTTCTTTTCTTCATCCTTTTCCTTTTTTCTCAACATCATACTCAATGGAATTCAAAGCAATTATGAAGTCGCAGACAAAACATCAGGACACCAAGTGAGAATGAAAACCCTGAATAGGTACCTGAGAGTGAGCTGCAAAACAGGTTAGCACAGATTTGAGTGCCAAAAGCTTTTCATGAATGTGGTGAGATGATGAGAGGTAAACAAGAAGAAATAGGCTTCAGAGTCCATTCTCTGCAAAACTTATGTAAGTCTTTTAAGAGTCTGGAGCGATCAGAACACAATTTCTGTAACTCAGAAACTAATCATGTCAAAAGCTGTACGGGGTTTCTCATACAACAGGACACCCTTTAGTTATGCAGTCTTGGCCCTGGGGAATCCTACCACTCACAGAAGGAGCCAGCAAATTTCAGTAGAATCTAAAAATAACGTAGAATGCTACATTAAAAGATATTAATGTGCTAAACATTACTGCAGCTTGCCTAGCAGGGACGAGTCAATGCATAAATCTGTGCTTGCCTCCACTTGGATATTACCAGAACTTAAAACCAAAAATAGGAGCCCAAGATCTTACTTTATGGATTAACTGGAATAAATTGAAGTCAAACAGACATGCTCTGTGTGACAGATGTGACCCTTTCCCAATAAAGCTTTCAGCAGATCTTCAGTTCAACAAATGCTTTCTATACGAATAAATTCAGATGCAGTTACCTCAAAAACCTGTTTTCATATTTCAGCATTTTTATTGCAGTGGTATCTAATGGTTCAATCAAATCCCATCCCTAAAGCTCTAGGTGCGTGTAGGACTGCACTCCTTATCAGACTAGTTTAGAGCTGATAGAATCCACACAAACAAATAAAGCATTATTACATGCACAGTAGAGGAAACATAACGCAAACAGATCAAATAACGTGGCAGAGATCACACTGTGTGCAGCAGAGTTACACATTCAGCCAGTGAGCCCCAGCTCACTGCCAAAACCTATTTCCAGGCTGAGCTCCCCAGGCTGCTGGGCCCACTTGTGCCCAGGTGTAGTCATTCCCTTTCTTCTTGGCCAAGAACTAATGACTGTACAGGACAGTGAGCTACTGCGCTGGTTGCAATAGAGATTGCATTTTCTATAAATGGGAGACCATTCAGTCACCTGAAAGGAGCCTTAAAAGAGGAGCCCTCCTGCAGAGCAGACTGAAGCTCTATACAAGGTGGCTTAATACCTGTTAATAACCATGCTCTGGGTTTCAGTTATTCTTCTAGACATCTGCCTTGATGTCTAGAAAGCTCTGGAAAAGCAAACTTTGGATTTTAATCTCAAGGAAACCACCTGGGAAAATCCAACATGAGCACGAAGCAATGTGTTAGTCTTTGCTCAGCATCCTGAGCTCAGGCCCTGGCAGCCACCCCAGACAGGGATAGAAGGAGCAGGAGAGCCCTCAGTACAATGCTGGTAAACAGGACTCCACCTCAGAACAGCAGCAGGCAGCAGTGCTCCCAGTGTCACATAACACAGCTCCAGCCTTTAAAATGACCACAAGTTACTAAGCAAGAAGCTGAAACACACCTAATGGAAACATGAGAATGGTTACATCTTCAGCTATCACCCACATCTATCTAAATCAAAAAGTGCTCACAGACTTCAGCTGAATCCAAATAAAAATCAAACTATCTGCAATTTTTATCTCTCAGACCAAAGCCTATGGAAGATCTCTGGTACCCAAGAGCAACTGCTGAGCAGCTGTGCACAGCACAAGCTGCCTGGGGCCATAGGAACACCCAGTCTGCAGGCATACCCTGTTTTGGGGAAGCAGGGGCTGCATCTTCCAAGCAAAAATCAAGTGAGGTGACGAGGACAGACACAGGTCATTACATGAACATAATAGAACTAGAAAATGGAACTGAAGATCCAGCACAGATACCAGCCACTGTGCTTGCCTTAAAGTCCAAATGACCACACCCAACTTCAAAGTATATTCCAACCTGAGCAATTCTATGATTCTGTACTCGCACAGACTTTTAAAACAAAAGGAATTCTCTCATATTTGTCAGCAGAACCAAGAAAAAAGTCTAGCATTAGGTCTCATTTAAAATGTTTTAACTACGCTACAAATTATTGAGTCAATTCATCAAGTTTGAGGCTGGCTCTAAACGGTTCCAGCTGCCGCACAGAAACCTAGAACCAAACACAAACCAAATTTCTAAGGCTTCATGTCAGCTTCAATTTTCTGTTACATTAAGAGAATAATTTTAGCCCTAAGTTAACAGTTATTAAGAAGTGCTGAAGTTGAGCCCATTTAACTCTCAGTTTTAGTTAACAATGCTTCAAGATGAACTTGCAGTTAGACACATCGCATCTCTTTTGTTTCGGGATGTTCATTTGGGGAAATTTAACAGGCAAGAGATGCCTATCTGAAAATGGAATCAATCAGGAATGAAGTTACGACAGAAAGAATTTCAGCAGACCATAAAAGAGAGAGAGAAAAAAGAAAACCCCACTATAAGAATAGTCCGTCAAAACGCAACTGTAGCGAGTTTGGGCAGCTTCCCAGTGCTCCAGAGGGAATTCTGCTATTTGCTGAGTTTAGTGAATGTAATCGAGTACCGAAGGAAAACCAGCAAAAAAAAGTACTGCTGCTTTCACCATTTTCTCAGTCCTGCTCAGTGTGAGAAAGCATACGGAAAACAGAGAAATTATTGTATTGCTGCGAAAGCAGATGTTCACAGCACAGATAAGAGTGACTGATTGCACATAGAATAAAACTACACAATCAGGCTTTTTTTTTTTTTTTTTTTTTTTTTTTTAAATAAAAGTCACTCAGCTGGCAGAAAGGAATAAAGAAAAAGAAGATTCAGAAAGTACTTTGGGAACATCTGCAGAGATAAGTCCTGCTCAGTTCCACAGTAAAAAGGAGCTAGTATTTTCCCTCGCAGATCATATGCAACATCATCTGAACTACTTTTCTCCAAGAATCTGAGTGTACAACATTAGGCAGGAAATTCTAACTCATTCAGAAGAGATGCAAACAGTTAACAGGAAACATAACATGAAATAATTCAAGCAATCTCCTTCCAAAGGCAACAGATAGTCCACAAGTTATTTATAGAGGAAAATGCAAAAGAGACTGGAAAGCACTTAAAACTTCTGAGGTTTTAAATACTCACTTCTTGCAGCCAAAATCACATCAGATGAACATCCAGGAAAATTTTTAAAAGCTCACGTTAAGGAGCTTAACCAGCTGAGAACATGATGTAGCCCTTCCTCTGGGCCGTCCAGCCATACGCATTTACTCATTCAACAGAAGCACAGAGCGTGATATTGTAGTGCAGCCTTTTACGTAGGGATGCCAGGAGAGGGGGGAGGAGAGGAAAGCCCTTCCCAGAGGCTTTAGTTCAGCCCACTCATTAAAATACAGAGTGGAAACAGCTGCCATGGAAAGGAAGAGGATGTCCTGGCAGTTTCTTGGGTGTAAAATGATTTAGTTCTGGAATCTTAACAAGAAAGATTTTTTTCTGAATTTTATTCTTACTCTGCATTTCTCTTAAAAATAAATAAAACAGTAATTAAAAAACAAAACAGACAACTCTGTCTCTAACTCAGCTCAGAAATTCATATAACATACTGGATAGTTATCCGTCCATTTTCAAAATTAGCACGTCTTATTAGGGGAAATAAATCCCCAAAAGATCCTATTTCTCCTCCTTGCGAGGACAACTACGAGTTCATGTGCGCTTTCTAAGGCTTAAATCTTCATGTAATGTAATACCAAATTCGTTCAGAATGCCTGCTCACCAAGAAGTTCCAAGAAGATAATAAATATTAGTTCATTAGTAGCAACATTTATGAGTGACAGCATCTCTCATATATATTAGCACCTCAAAGTTAAGGCTAGATAGGGAAGAAAGATAGGTGGCAACAACAGTGAAAGCCCCAGGAACATTTCTTCAAGGAGACACTGAAAAAAATGAGGATTCTTCAGTCTGAGAAGGTGTTGACAGAGGGGAAATGAGAGCTTTATTAAATCTTGAAAGGCATCAAAACCACAAATCTGGGAATGGTGGCTCGTTCCTTCTGGTAACACAAGCACTGAATGAAATCTTCTCAGGCTACTTCAAGCTTCAGAACAAACAAAAACCAGTACCTTTTTACAGAATATATAATTGGATTGCAAACCTCATTGCCACAGGATCCTGCGGTGTTCTGCTGTGTAAACTAGCTCAAAAATTAAATGCTAAAGCTCATACCTTGGGAAGTTGTTAACCACAAGTTACTAGAAGGTACAGATACTTTGGTGAACTAGCACTTTGCATTTGGCCTCCACATTAACCCCTTCCCTAAGGCTGTGACACTGGCTCCCGCCAGAGATAGCAGACTGGATTAGGAGGAGCATCTTTGTGCCACACCTATGGCTTTGTATTATCAGTGTCGGTACGTCTATTCCACAAACAGAGAATTAACTATGTACATTAAGAGACAAGCATCAAAGCTATTTTGAATTTCTGACTACAGCCCAAAATAAGACATTGGGACATAACCATTACTGGCCTGAAGTAAATTTGCACTTCCTCAAAGGCAGCACCCAAAGCGTCCCCCGAGACTCCAGTCCAACTACTTCATGACTTCACGACTTCTCACCACCAGTCTTTCCACAACACATTTCAGCAGCTATTTCTCCTATTTTCTGCTTTATGCATTCTGATCGTGAAACCTGATATTTAATATCAAAGCTATTTTAAGTGCATGTATTTCTTTTTTTATATATCGTCAGCTGGCATTTTTCAATTTTCAACCGGGTAACAGCCACAGCAGCAAGTAGCAAATAGTTGTACAATGAGAGGCATACCTTAAAAACAGCCTTGCAGTGCTCAAGCGCTCACTGCATAGCAAAAGGCGTAACTGCCCACTAGCTCTGCTGCTTCAACAGCTGGTCTTAATTAATATTCAGAAACAAGACACTTCTATGCAAAATTAACCAACTGACTTCAGAGACTGGGTCTAAGAAAAGCATTCACAAACTCTGCTTCTCTACTCCGCTTAATTTTAAGCTGGGACTTAACAGCTGTTTGTCTGTCTTTGCATGTTTAATGTTTCCTGTAGGTCTGCAAAAGCATGCAAAATATTTTAGTTCAAGGCCTCTATACGGTTGTAATAGGAAATGGCTGTCTCCCTTAAAGAGCTGGGTTAGTATAGAAACAGGGATTGTCTGTCTGACAGTGAAGTCTTTAGTGTATATCTCAAAGGGAAGGAAAAGACACATAAATATTTACTGCCTTCTGTACACACCACGGAATTCAAACGCTGCCTATTTTTGGTTACTTCTTCTCTAAACAATCCAGGCTAAGGTCTGGTACTGTTGTTCTCATTGTTTTTTTTTTTCATATCAATAGAAAGTTCTGCTCCCACCTTTGCCAGACAGTTCCTCTAAGCTGCAAAACAGCATCACAAAGAGAAAGCTGCTATCTGAATCCTAGGCTGGCCAAGACTACTTGCTTGTGCAAGAAGTGTGATCATGTCACAGACCCCTTAGTCTATCTGAGAGCATGCATGCTTCCTGTGTGAGGCTTCAAACCCATGTTGAAACAGCCTTCTAGTGTTTCAGCATGAGGCATGGTGAAGACATATAGATAAGCAAGGTTCTGCTTCCTAGTTCTGTCCTCTTTCACTTCACCTATGCTGAAGAGCACACAACATTCCCTCCACAGAAAGTGCATGGGATGAAGCAGCAGAAACAGATGTTCCCTTTCCTCCGGCATAACCCCTAATGAACAGCCTTCAAATCTGATCTTTGACCCATTTACAGCTTCAAATTGTGGTCCTTAGCCTCCTTCACCACTGTGCTCCAACAGGTCCATCCTTTCTTTTTCACATCACAATATATGTACTGCTAGAGGACCAGCAGCACTGAAAATCATTTTCATTTCCTAGATGCACCCTTACCATACCTGCCCTTCTTTAAGGCTCGACTAAAACTTCAATCTTCACCTCCACCCCTTTGTTTCTCTCTTTTATTTAAGAGCCATGTGGTAAATAGAGAGGAACTTAAAGGATTCGCACTTCCCTCATGTGGTTGTAACTACACCTTGAGTCATGAAATGCTGAGGAAGTTACTGATGGAGTAACTCATGTAAATACATAGCAGTGAAAACTTGCTTATCCAAAAAACAGCCAAGGTGCAACCAGATACTCTGATCAGTAGACAGGAGCTCAGCTCACTGATGGGAATATGTTTCAGGATGCTCAATGAAACCAATGAAAATTTCCTACAAAACGCAAATTTGCAACAATTCAAGAACTGGATAGGAGGTCCTGCAGGTCTGAGAGAAGATGAGGGTTCAGTGAATAATAATTTTCCTTAAAATGATACCTTAGCACAAAGCCTTCTAATGTGGGCTTGTACATATCAGAAGAGTCACTACAGTGCATGAGGATCCAGCCTTGATATGCTTAGTTAAAAAGAGTCACATCTGCAGTACGATCTGAAGCAGTTTAACAGAATTGATTGCAGGAACTGCACCCCAATAAGATTTTCTTTGCATTTCATCTGAGTTTTCTTGTCTCTTTTTTTTTTTTTTTTTTTTTTCCTTTTATGTAATAAATCTGGTTTGGGATGCCACTGAGTTTCTACCAGTTCAGTCCACTTCTTGCCTCATTTCCACTGAACAGCACTACAAAATGAAAAGAAAATGAGAGCAAAGGTACTTAGGCAAGGGAAGTGGAATGGACAGAATGATTTTCACAATAAAGATGGATCAGTGCAATCTTTAAAAAAAAACAACAACAAAACAAGCATTCTTAACACAGACAAGTTATACACACATGGGAGATGCACATGGAAGTCCAATGGGATATTTTAGTATGCATTCTGAGCACAGAAGGCTGAAGTGCTTCTGGATCCATTCAAAAAAATGCACCCACTTCATGGAACCAGAGATTGATTTAGAAATCTGGTGGGCTGAGGCAATTCAACCAAGCATCAGGGATGCAGAACAAAACCTCAAACAGTCTGAATCTGTTCTTTGGATCAAAAAGCCTCTCCCTTCCAGCTAACTTCCCCACCCACCCTGAAAGCATTCTGCTTTGGGAGTGGCTCTTCTCATACAGGAAACAAAATTTTCTTTTACTGTGGTTCATGGAAAATTTTCTCATTTTTCTATCTGCAGCCCACCTAGACTGGAAAAAAAAACCATTAGCCTCATCCAAAACCCAGGGTTAACAACTCTGCCTATCTGTGGATAGTTCTTTTCAACTAGCAAGGAAGCAATCCCACAACTGCCTTTCATATGGCTCATTATGGGAATGGCGGTGCAGCACAACCACAAAAAGAGTTGTACTGGATTAATTTGAGAAGTTATTGTAGAGCACTTTGAGGTACTTCCATCTGAAAAAAGGCTTATGAAAACAGGGATTAGATCAATTCTAGGGCAACTGTGGTCTTCAAGTGTACGAGGGCTTCCCATAAATTGGAATGGTAATAAGAGACAACTGGATACATAGATTTTATTCCAACTTGTTACAGATCATGCGATATAAAGATTGAGTCGTGGAGTATAAATAATACAATCCTCAGGTACAATAACTGAATTTATTATCAATCCAAAGTCTGCTATCAGTAACACGAATCCTATTATTGCCTTCAGCAGGATTTGGATCAGTCTTCCAAAGAGCAATTTGGGAAAAAAAAAATAAAAAATAGAGAAATAAAAGCATTTTAATTTTAGCAATGTATAGAAAAAATATATATATTTTTCCTTTTCAGAAAAAAAAAAAAAAAAAAAAAAGGACTTGGATGAAGCTACAGTTGATCAGATCATCACTTTATTTAATCCAAAAAGCCTTTATCAGTACCAGAAGCCCCATAGTCACATACAAGAAACTAATTAGCAATTCTGGGAAAGCTGCAGCTGGGTATCTCTACTGAGAAGAAACAAAGCAGCTTCACTGCATCAGCAAGGCATCAATTTGCATTTACTGGATAAGTTTTCAGCTGGACCAGTTCCCAATTTGCCTCACCAGTGCTAGCCACGAGTTGGATCAGTTTATACCAGTTAAGAAAATACAGCTCTGTAGAAGAACTTAAACATAAAATCTTTCACAGTTTGGTGATACAAAGCAGAAGCCAAGAGAACAAGTCAGGTAAGACAAATATTTGGGAACAAGTATCATTGTCTGTATGTCTGGAGCGATGTTCCTGGCATTTCTGAGAACTCAGAACCAAACACGTGAATCTACTTTAAAGCAGAGCTCGCACAAGGAACCTGTGGCATAGCAAGAAGCAAAGGCTGGAAGCCCGACTCTCATATTGTCCCTC